GCCAACGTATGATGACCTCATGGGGGTTTTCAAGGCATGAGACGTTGAGAGGCGGTTGGCCATTGCCTGGCTCTGCAAAGCTACCCTGGACTTCCTTAGTGGCCAACGGTCCAAATACGAACCAGGGCCAATCCTGCTTAGGAAGGAAATCAGGCTAGCCTGGGCCATCCAGATCTGGGCTTCTCCAGCTTCCCTCACATGAAATGCAACGAGGAGCCATTTGGACCCCTTCAAATGACGGTCACCACAAAAGGGTACCGTTCACAAAACATGAATCTCAGACAGGTTCGTCCCATCTCTCCCAACACGCTTCCATTGAAAGAGAATGAAAGAATTTTTGAACAGGTGGGCAGTTCATGGCTCTGCTCCCACGATGGTAGAGAAGGGTCTCCATGATGCTTTTTGCAGCCAAGACTGTCATTGCCACTCATTGGAGAACGACAATGACACCCACTCTTTCACAATGGCATAAAAAGATGTGGGGTTTATACATTGTGGCAAAACTCTCGGGTAATCTTACGCACTTTGAAAAGATCCCTGCTCCTACCTCTTTCGTCTCAACGTGGCTTCCTATTTTAGAATACCTATCGCAACAAGCTGGCACTCCTAAGGTGATGGATGGCCTGAGGTAGTGGTAAGATAAATGACTCTATTCTAGATGTTTGTGGAAGTTTGCAGCTAACACCTATGATCGACTAAACTTGGAGACACTACATCACTTCATGAAATTGTTTCAATGTCAATCTCTAAATTAGCTATGTTTAATCTGTTCTTTACGGTAAAGGTTCCCTTGCTCGAAAGCCAGTCAAATCTGACGCTAGAATTGCAGTGCTCATCTCCGTTTCAATGCCGAAGAGCCAGCGCTGTCCAAAGACGTCTCCGTGGTCATGTGGCCAGCATGACTAAACACCAAGGCGCACGGAACGCTGTGACCTTCCCACCGAAGGGGTACCTATTTATCTACTTGCCATTTCTTGCTTTCGAACTGCTAGGTTGGCAGGAGCTGGAACTAGAGACGGGAGCTCACTCCGTCATGCGGCACCCGGGTCTCGAACTGCTGAACTACTGACCTTCCACAGCCTGCAGTTCAGCATCTTAACCACTTGAGCCACCGCAGCTCCTGTTCTTACCTAGATGCTATTTGACTACCCTTTGTTAAGCTTCGAATATATTCGCAGTTATCTGTGCACTTAAAGTTGATGTGTTCGTACATATTTGTATTTTCATTTATATGCAATAAACTATATTGTACCAAAAAAAAAATGAAAGAAGAAGAGATCGATCGCCCTTGAGAGGACAGCTCTGAAAGGACTTGTGACTGACCCAAGGTCACACCAACAGTGGCGTGTGGAGGAGTGGGGGAATCAAACCCGGTTCTCCCAGATTAGAGTCTGCGCTGTTAACCACTATACCAAACTGGTTCTCAAAATAAATGTCACCCAAAGAAAGAAGACCAAGTATATATGAGTAGAAAAGAACAACAGTTCAGAAACACCTTAGAAATGAACAAAATTGGTGGCAAGGTATGAGCTTCCGTGAGTCACTGCTCACTTCTTCCGATACAACTAGAATGTGAGTCTTTTTGTCCTTATATCACAAGGATGATGGATTTCCATTCTGTAAGGCTAAATGTGCTGCCTTCCATGGAGCTAGATCAAGATGGGTAGCTCGACTCTACGAGGGCCTAGACGGCAAATGTTGGAAATGTGAGATACAGTTGGGCTCGTACTACCATGTCTGGTGGACCTGTAAGGAGGTTAATAAATTTTGGAAGGAGGTCCAAGGCGTGCTATGTCAGATAACTAAAAAACCAATCCCGTTAGATCCAGAAGTGTCCCTATTAAATATATATCCCGATAAATGGAAGAAAAGAGAAAAATATTTAATTTTGCATATATTAACAGCCGCAAGAATTTTACTTGCAAAGGGCTGGAAGACTGAATCGGTACCAACTAAAGGGGAGCTGATAAGTAAAATAATTGATGTTGCAGAAATGGATAACTTGACACAAAAGGTGAATGGGAATATGAATACGTTATTTCAAAACGTTTGGTCACCTGTGTACAGATGGTTGGATCAAGAGACGTGTTAACTGTATTAGGAGGAGATCTGTTTTTGTGGTGAGGGTGATTAGTAGGTGGGGGGGGTCTATTGTATATAACTTTGTGGAAAACAATAAAAATATATATATTTTTTAAAAAAAGATGGGTAGCCTTGCTAGTCTATCTGTAGCAGTAGAAAACAGCAAGAGTCCAGGAGCACCTTAAAGAGTCCCTCAAGATGGGTAGCCTTGTCTAGTCTAGTCTAGCAGCTGGAAAGAGCAAGAGTCCAGGAGCACCTTAAAGACTAGCAAAGCTGGTGGCAGGGTAGCAGCTTTCGTGAGTCACTGCTCACTTCTTCAGATATCTGAAGAAGTGAGCAGTGACTCACAAAAGCTCCCACCCTGCCACCAATTTTGCTAGTCCGTTTCTAGGGAGGAAGGTCATGAGGGAGATAATGATGAGGCTGCAGGCCGGAGTGATAAACTGTGTTCCGCTTCTGCGATTTCTGTGGCAAGACATTTATTGTTCCTAGACCAACATTGTGAAAAATGAAACAGCTTTGTTGGAACTCAAGTCTAATTCCTCCTCATACACTCCTCCTGCCTGTTCCAGGAGATTTTATTTCCTTGGATGATTCGTTGTAAACTGAAGAGTGGGGGTGAAGGACTCCTTTGCACTGAGTGGATTGTGCAGAGACTTCATTTGCAGGATGGTTGATATTTCTCCTAATATTGATTGATTGATATTTTCCCTTCTCTCTGGCTCCTCCTGATCCAGAGCAAGAGACTTACTCCTGCTTGCTTTACAACTGGAGTATTCATGGATCCTCAAATGGCTTCTTGTGCCTTCCTCCCACTGCAGATTTGAATATTTAGGAGATACAGCTATATTTGAACCAGGCCTGGCATTTCCTTTAGATGCACTAGTGCGTAAGGGAGTTCGCACATTATTCTTAAAAACTCTGGAGACCAGAATACCATACTTCCTAAATAAAAGGTCCTGTAATCGCATCATCTTAGAAGGAATATCTTCATTTTTAAAATTTAAGATCAGTCTTAGATATGGCCCAACTCTAGGAAGTTTAAAATAGAAACCCAATGGTATTGTGGCAGTGTCGCGTTTTAGCAATTGACTCAAGGATAGTTTAATAGCTCTGAAATTTTGCCATCTATAAAAGTTTGTCCGCTGGTCCTTAAACGAAATGGCCAATTGGTCCCGTTGCAGAGTCGATGAAACAGATGGATGTTGTCCTTGGCAGTCATCTCTCAGGGTTGGTAACGCGCAGTGCTCATTTTCTCTAGGAAGCTTGCACTGTGCAGGGATTGCCAATGATTTAATAGCCTCACTCACAGTGTTTATTTTTGCGTCAATACCCTTAATTTTTGTCATCGGCATTTCCAAGGTTTGAGATGTTAAAAAGGCTTCCTTGGCAAACGTTTCTAAGAGGAGTGATGATAATCGGTGACAACACCGTGGCTGAGAGTTTGGGCTTAAAGAGGAATCCTCCTCATTCGTAGCTCCACTCACATCTCCCAGTAATAAGGAGGTTTCAGGTTCCGGGGTTGAAAATCTGTTTGAAAACTCAATTTCACCAGATGTGCAACCCTGGAGCACTCTTATCTGTAACATACCTGTCCATCTTTTCTTGCTTGCCTGCTTTTAACGCAGCTGCTTCTAGGGGACAACGTCCGCGCTTCCTTGTAGTCATAATTTCCTCAGCTCGTTAGCACTGCTCCGATAAGGTTTTTACACTCCCACAGTAGCGTCTTGTCAAGCAAGCTGTTCCATAGCAGCATAAGGCTTAAGGCTTAAAAGGTCTAAAATAAGATAAAATTCCGAAAGAATAGCGGAGAGAACGAGCCGGCGTCCTCCCCACTACCGTAACCGGAAAAGCCCCCCAATTTTGCTAGTCTTTAATGTGCTACTGGGCTCTTGCTATTTCCTGCTGCTAGACAGACTAACCCATGCAGGTCCATCTGCAAGCATATTTGACTTTGCCATAAAAAGTCACAGGACCGGAAGAATGTAAACTCAACAGGAGGAGCTGCCTACCGACCTAACTCCTAGCTTTAATTTTAAAAGAGGTAAGTGACAGACCAAATTCAAATCTAGAGTCAAAGGCAGTATTCAAAGTGGGGAGAATCTGGGTGCAATGAACATATTGCTCCCTCTGAACCCAGCTGTATTCGGAAACTGGATGCTCAGAGATCCAGAGAGACGTCTCCCCCCCCCCCAGAACTCCCCGAAAGTTCAACAAATACGAAGTGGGGTCTCGGTATCCGGCTGCAAGCTTTCAAAACTTTACATAAGAACACAAGAGAAGCCAATGCTGGATCAGGCCAGTGACCAAAAATACCAGGGGCCATCAGGAGGTCCACCAGTGGGCCAGGACACCAGAAGCCCTCACACTGTTGCCCCCACCCCCCCAAGCACCAAGAATACAGAGCATCCCTTGCCCCAGACTGAGAGTTCCTATCTACACCTTGTGGCTAAGAGCCACTGATGGACCTCTGCTCCATATGCTTATCTATTTCCCTCTTAAAGCCGTCCATTGCTTGTAGCCACCACCACCTCCTGTGGCAGTGAATTCCATGTGTCAATCACTCTTTGAGTGAAGAAGGACTTCCCTTTATCCCTTCTAACCTGACTGCTCAGCAATTTCATTGAATGCACATTCATTTCAGGTGGCTGTCAGGTGTCCGTCTCTCGGGATAGCCGCAGCCTCAAATCTGCGAGACCCGTCTGTTTTCTAAGACAGCCTCTTGAGAAGAACGTTACTTTGACCTCCAATCAGCAGGCTTAAATCCCTTCCGCCACTTCCCACATCTCTACTCCAGTAACAGCACTGATAAACCGAGGAGACACATTTGGGAGTCCACTTTAAGAGAAGACAACTGTCCTTTCTTTTTCCTTAAAAAAAAGAGAGAAGATTTTAATACCTGACATCCACATGTGCATATTCTCCACATCTCAACAGTGTCGTGAAAATTTACACAGCCATTCAAAGTCCGTACAAAATCGAGAAAATAAAAGTGCTTAAGAGCTGGAGGAGAGGGCCACTGGGACGTCGGCCAAGCTAGCGGCGCACTTTCTCTCCAGTGACCTCACAGTTCACAAATCGCAAGCTTAAGACTGTCTAAACACAGAATTTGTACGCTCAGCCCATATATTGGCATACAAGTCCCTTAACAAGCAAGCTAATATTCAGGCTTAGCCTTAGCTATTTTTTTGGTTAAACGTTGTCCTTCTCTCCGTTGACTGATGAGATCACGTACAAGCACAGCCGCTCCTTTTGTCAGGCAGACATTTTAGAAACAAAGCTGAGTTAATACGGGTGTTCCCTTTTGCTTCGAGACTCTCCAGCGGCAACCGGGGTTCAGGCTCCTTGTTCGGAATCAGGGCGAATTCAGAAGCTCCAGAAGAGCCCCGACTGCTCCAAAGTAACCCTGTTTAAAAGAGAGAGAGAGAGAGAAACGGAATGTATTTGATTCCGCGTCCGGCACGAATCTGCCACAAGCGGCAAGAAATCTTAAAGAGCTTCATCTTTATCATCTGTTTTCCTTCTACGCATGGGATCGACAGCCCATCTTTCCCACTGAGATCCAGGATGGACTACACAGTCCTTGTTTATGCAACCAATCAGGCGAGACATCTAATAAGCAATGAAATAAGACTAGGATTGCATAAATCTGAAACAGAGTAATTTATTTAGAATATTTCTGTGCTGCCCCTTCAGAGTCTTGCTCAAGGCAGCTTACAGTTTAAAAAAAACCAATATAAAGCTAGCCAGAACAATCCATAAAACAGACCTCAGACTAGAAGATGATTTGTAAAAGCTGGCAAGATTAAAACCCCAAATTAAAAGACTTGGTAAAAAGTCTTGTTTTAGCCTGGCGACTAAATGAAAATCAAGAGGCTAGACCAGGGGTGTCGAACTCATTTGTTATGAGGGCCAGATCTGACATAAATGAGTCCTTGTTGGGCTGGGCCATGTGTGCCATAAAAAGTAATGCCAGGTAGCGGAGATATAAACTTTATAAAGGACACAAACACAAAGGGTTTTTTTAACTTAAAATAAAAACATGCTTAAAACGTTAGCTCTGTAAACTGCAAACCTACTTTTGGTTTATTGACATTCACCACAGAAATCTCATGCTCGGAGTTCTGAGTCTAGGACCCAGGGAGCAACATGAAATGGCTGAGTGACTAAGAGAGTCTGGCGAAGCAGGCTATGATGCAGCAGCAGCAGCAGAACTGGAAGGAGGAGATGGCCAGTTCCACTGCAGGCCTGATGGAAGCCCCCCCCCAGGGGGGGGCCTGATCCGGTCCCCGGGCCGGATGTTTGAGACCTCTGGGCTAGACTCAAGGGGAAGTGCCTTCCAAAGGCGAGGTCCCGCCACAAAAGATGCCCTGTCTGCAGTCGCCATCTGCCTCACTATACCCTCAGGGGTATAACAAATAAATAAAATAGCCCTTGTATAGCGATTTTCGTGGTCTACAGGGCTTCACATCCTGTTGCAGATCCCCACAACAATCCTGCAAGGTTGCTATTATTCCCATACATCAGATGATAGGTACTGAGGCTAAGAGAAAGTGGCCTGCAGACGGCTGCCTCGTGAATTCACAGAAAGGCTGAGAATCAAACCAGGGACTTCCTGGTTCACAGCACAGTCTCCGCCACCAGCTCTGCCGAGTCCTCTGAAGGATCGAAAAACTAAATTGCTGCCACCTCCTGTGAGCCCTTGGAACGGGGCAAGTTTTTAAAGCCATACATGACTTGGGACCAGGGTATACGAAGGACCGTCGTCTCCCATAGGTTGCTGCCTGGGAATTAAGATCACAGGGAGAGGCCCTCCCGACCCTCCCACCAATCAGAGGAGCTCGTTTGGTGGGCAAACCAGAAAGGGCCTTTTCGGTGGCAGCCCCATGATTATGGAACCTACCTCCCGGGGGGGGGGTACACCTGGCCCCCTTCACTTCTGATCTTTAAGAGGCAGCTGAAGAGGGTTTTATTTAGGACTACATTTGACTCATTTAGTTTTTATTGACTGGCCCTAACTGAGACTTTAAATCATGGTTTTTAATGCATTTTTAAAAATAATCGTTTTATTTACAATGGAAGCTGCCTAATAAACGTTTTAAATAGACAGATAAATTAAGTAAGAGACAAATCTTTGCATGTTTAATTACTGGAAGTAGGGATGCCAGTCTCCGGGTGGGACCTGGGGATCCCCAGGAACTACGGCTCACCTCCAGAGCCAATGCCCCCTCTAAGCTGTGGAGTCTTGTGAGCAAAACTCTACTTTGTGAGATACTGGCATTAAAGTTGTGAGCGGGCGATTTGGCTCCTGCATCAATTAGTCTGGAGCCCTCCTTCCTGAGAGAAGCCAAAAACGTGTGAGCCGGAGGCTAAAGAACTGTGAGCTGGCTCGCACTAACTCAGCTTAGAAGGAACACTGCTCCAGACAACAGAGATCAGTTCCCCTGGAGGGCACTGTACCCCACCAAGGTCCCTGTCCTCTCCAGGCTCCAACCCCCCAATCTCCAGGAATTCCCCAACCTGGACCTGGCAATCCTAGCTGAAAATATGTCGATGCACATTTCAAGATTAAACCCGCTGAGGAAGTCCCAAGTGCAGGTAGAAGCGGAGCCCCCTTTCCACGCTCCTTGGTGCCCCCCCAAGAGAACCAGTGAGAGCAAAGTGCGTCTGTCTGGCCTTAGAGACCCCACCTCGTGTTCCAAGAAGAGCGCCTTCAGCTGGCCCTTAGACCAGTAGTCCAAAGCGTAGGCCAGAAACTTCATGGAGATGGTGTTGATGCGCAGGAAGTTGCCCACGAAAACCACGCGATTAATGTTCTGTGAAAAGGAAAAAGCCTGTTGAGAGTCTTTAAGAATCACCTTCAACGGAACCGAGAGGCTTAAAAACGGTGTGGCTTAAATCAGGTTGTTAAAGGCAGCCTTGCTCGTGAACCAACCCTTCCGTGCTGCTCTAGATCTCCGTGACAGCCCTAACCAAAGTTGCTAAGTGTCCCATAGATTTATTTATTAAAACATTTATATATGTGCTGACCGCCTACCCCCCTTACGAACCTACCTGCCCTACTGGGGTCATCTTCGGAGACCCTGCTTCAAATGCCCTTTGCCATCTGAGACGGTGGTGTGCGTGCTAAGTGCCAGTGAGTCACTTCCGTCTCACGGCGGCCCTGTGAGTTAATGACCTCCCAAAACACCCTATTGTTAACTGCCTTGCTCAGGTCTCCAACCAAAGAGTCATTTAACACGTGGAATTCACTGCTGCAGGAGGTGGTGGCAGCTACAAGCATAGACAACTTCAAGGGGGATTGGATAAACATCTGGAGCAGAGGTCCATCAGTGGCTATGAGCCACAGGCTGGGGGAGGGATGCTCTGTATTCTTGGTGCTTGGGGGGAGGGTGGGAGAGCTTCTGGAGTTCTGGCACTGCTGGTGGACCTCCTGATGGCACCTGGGTTTTGGCCACTGTGTGACACAGAGTGTTTGGACTGGATGGGCCACTGGCCTGATCCAACACGGCTTCTCTTACGTCCTTATGTCTGGGGCAGTGATGCTCTGTCACTGGCCTGATCCAACAGAGCTTTTCTTGTGTTCTTAAACTAATAACCGTGGCTTCCTTTATTGAGTCAATCCATTTCAAACTGGGCCATTTTTTTTCCTGCTGCCTTCCACTTTTCCTAGGATTATTGCCTTTTCCAGTGACTCTTGACTTCTCAGGCTCGAAGACTAGGCAGGCGGCAACTCAGGAGAGGGCCTCCTCTGTTGTGGCCCCATAGCTGCAGAACTCCCTCCCCACGGAGACGGGTCTGTTTCCCTTCTGTTGCTGTTTTCCACCGGAGGAGGGAGACTGTTTTCTTTCGTCTGGTATGCCTTCAATAATCACCACTGGCCTGATCCAACAGGGCTTTTCTTGTGTTCTTAAACTAATAACTGTGGCTTCCTTTATCGAGTCAATCCATTTCACACTGGGCCATCTTTTTTCCTGCTGCCTTCCACTTTTCCTAGGATTATTGTCTTTTCCAGTGACTCTTGACTTCTCAGGCTCAAAGACTAGGCAGGCGGCAACTCAGGAGAGGGCCTCCTCTGTTGTGGCACCATAGCTGCAGAACTCCCCACGGAGACGGGTATGTTTCCCTTCTGTTACTGTTTTCCACCGGAGGAGGGAGACTATGTTCTTTCGTTTGGTATTCCTTCAATAATCACCCCTCCCTCGAGAATTTTTCATGGCTGCTTCCATGTGTTTGTACGTATTTCATTCTGCTTTTAATTGCTTTGATGAAGTGTGTTGGAAAAGGAATTTTATTTTAATGGTTTTAAAACGTGATTTTTATCATCGTGTACGTCTCAAATGGTTAGCTGCCTTGGAAGGGCAGGTAGGCGGGGTATAAATTTTATGAACAGTAATAAAAGAATACCGGAAAGGGTAAGAGAGGCTGTGAAAGGGCACGAGAGAAACGGCTGAAACTGAAACTATTGAGAAAAAAGCCAGCCAGAACTCTAGCAAAACACTAATCTTTACATCACTAAGGCAGGCAATGAAAAAAATGGCAAAAATCCGTTAAGGCTGTGGCTTCAACAAAGATGGTTTTGCCTCCTCCTCTGAATACCAGCTTTATTTCATGCTCTCGTGGTTCGGCTTCCCCCGACACCCCTCTTCTCGTCTGCTAAGCAAGCAGGCGGGTTTCCACGGCAGGGAAGGTGTTCACCCCGGCGGGGCCCCTTTGGATCCGGATGGACCCCTCTGGTCTACGAAACTATCCCGCAGCAACAAACAAGCCGAGCAGGCCTCGGTGCCTTCATAGCCCTGTACAATGCTGCTTGACTTGCTTGCAACAAGGCAGCACTGTAAAGAAGCTGAGGGCACCGAGTTCAAGAGACGCCCCCGCGGAAGTCCGGGGCAGACGGAACGAGGGTTGCCTTCGCTTCCCGGTGGACTCGCCGCTTTCTTCCTTGGCTCGGTAGATCAGTGGGGTTCCCTTCACGGTCTTTTCTTTGCAGCTATCAATCTGCACCCTCAGAAAAGCCATTTGCACTTGGTGGTGGAACGTTCCGCCAAGTTGCAGCCAACTTACAGCAACCCGCCTGGGGTTTTCAAGGCAAGAGACTTTCACGGGTGGTTTGCCATTGCCTGCCTCTGTGGAACAACCCTGGACTTCCTTGGTAGACTCCCAGGGCTGACCCAGCATAGTTTCTCAAGATTCTGATGAAATCAAGCTAGCCTGGGCCATCCAGGTCAGGGCAACTGTGAGGTTCTCATTTATAGGGGAAGCAGTTTTACCTTTAAACACTCTCTGAGTACAATAAACTTGGTGGTTTTATCCTTCCACCAGGAATTAAAAATTCCAAATCTCTCTCTTTTGGTAGTATGACCTAGGGTCTGGGCACGTCAGAGGACTGTGTGGTCCTGAGGAAGTACTGTCCTGATTTCTGGGATAAGTTTAAACAAAAATGATTTCTTTAATCAAGAACAAAATAGATTTCTAGTTATTTTGAACACTTGCTGAAGAAAGGGACTTGTAAATATAACTGGCAAAGCTTGGTGTCACAAACAGTCTCTCAGACTCCCAAAACTCCACTCTGACAGGCGTAGACACTCAGTCTAGTCTCTCTCTCTCCCATCTATACAGATATAGATAGCCACACAGGCTAGTCTCTTTGTTTTATTCACACAGAATAGAATCAACTCTCTTAGTCACACAGACTAAACTGTTGGTCTTAATCAGAAAAAGACTCAAAATCCCATAGTCACACAGACTATGCTCACTCTTCAAACTTCACATACAGAATCCTTCATAACTCTCAGAGTCACAAAGACTCTCTTCAAAACTCTTCCATACTTGTCTCTCTCATATCACAGAATCTCTTCGTACACATACACACAGAATCCTCTCAGACACCCCTCCTCCCACATTCTCAGTCAGCAGCCAATCAACTCACACTTGTCACCCTCTATCACTCTCCTTACAGTACCGCAGTCAAACTAAACATTTAAAAGAACACACACCAAAACATGGAATAATAAAGTATTATCAAGTCACAACAGACTTATTGGGATCCTAAATTGTTTTCAAAGCAAGGGGCATTCCGAAGCTGTTTGCCATTGCCTGCCTCTGCATAGGGACCCTGGACTGACTCGGTGGTCTCCCATCCAAATGCAAACCAGGGCCGACACCCCCCCTGCGCGCACGCGCGCGCTTGGCATCTGAGGTCAGGGCAACTCCCACCCGCTGTTTACAAATGTCAATCAGACCACATCACAAATACTCGAATTTATCTGGCTCATTTAAAGTATCCCCTACGAGTCGTTCTTGCTCTCGATTAATCTTGCATTGCTGACTGCAGTGGGAAGAGGTTAAAGCTGTCAGAGTCTTGCAGAAACAGTCCCAACAACGTTCCCTGACTAGGATCAAGTTTATTGAGCAGCAGAAGCAAGTCAGTCTGGTTACACGGTTAGTGTCAGAACTGGGGTCCCAGGCGGGAGAGGCACAGTTATGCGCAATTCGAACCGAACCCCTGATGCAGGTAAACCAATAAGCAGAGCAGGAAATTGCGCCTAAAACTAACGAGCCTAGGTTCCCAGCAGAGCCTGCAGAGAGGAGCGCCAAGGTCATTTGTCTGAGCTCCAAGATAAGACGGTGAGTGGGAATCGAAAGACAAAATACCAGAGGCATGAAGGAGAGTCTCATCTGCACCCCCTCCCCTCGCCTGCCATGGCAGCATAGCTGACATAAGCCAACAGGGTGTAATGGTCAAAGAGCGTCAGACCAGGACCTGGGAGAGTCCCAGGTTCAAATCCCCTCTCTGCCCTGGAAGCCTGCTGGGTAACCTTCGGCCAGTCACACACTCACTGCCGGCCCTACCTCACAGGAGCGTTGTGAGGATAAAATGGAGGAGAGGAATATTATGTAAGGCACCTTGGGTACCCATTGGGCAGAAAGGTGGGGCACAGATGAAGCAAATAAGTAAATAAATAAAAGTGCTGTTCCTTCCCCTTTCTGGGGGAGCCTGAGTATCCTTACTGTAGAAAGAGTAGGGGGGGGGGAGACACGGGACGACAGCCATTCATCCATTAGTTTTGGAAGACATTTCTCCTCCCCAGAATCAGGAAGAAGAGTTGGCTTTATACCCTGCTCTCCACTCAGAGCGGCTTACAACCACCTTCCCTTCCCCTCCCCACAACAGACACCCTGTGAGGCAGGTGGGGCTGAGAGAGCTCTGAGAGAACTGCTCTTGAGAGAACAGCTCTGAGAGAACTGTGGCTTGCCCAAGGTCAGCCAGCTGGCTTAATGCAGAGGAGTGGGGAATCAGACAAGGTTCTCCAGATCAGAGTCTGCCGCTCTTAACCACTGTCAACACCAAACTGGCTCTTTCTACAAGCATGGAGAGCTTCAAGAGGGAATTGGGTAAACATGTGGAACAGAGACCCATCAGTGGCTATCAGCCACAAGGTATAGTTAGGAACTCTCAGGCTGGGGCAAGGGATGCTCTGTATTCTTGGTGCTGGGGGGGGCAACAGTGGGAGGGCTTCTAGTGTTCTGGCCCCACTGCTAGACCTCCTGATGGCACCTGGTATTTTTGGCCACTGTGTGACAGAGTGTTGCACTGGATGGGCCACTGGCCTGATCCAACATTGGCTTCTCTTATGTAAAAGAAGAAGAATATGGAGCAGAAGTCCATCAGTGGCTATGAGCCACAAGGTATAGAGAGGAACTCTCACGCTGGGGCAAGGGATGCTCTGTATTCTTGGTGCTGGGGGGGGGGCAACAGTGGGAGGGCTTCTAGTGTTCTGGCCCCACTGCTAGACCTCCTGATGGCACCTGGTATTTTCGGCCACTGCGTGACACAGAGTGTTGGACTGGATAGGCCACTGGCCTGATCCAACACTGGCTTCTCTGATTTTCTTACCATCTGGAGTCACTAATGTTAAGACACATGCAAGGAGTGGGCACTGCCTAGATCTACCGGCCCTGACAGTGATGTCAGCCCCCTTTCCATACCTCGTTCAGTGCGCACATCCGGGCTATGGAGCCGATGTTATTGGTGATGGTGATCAAGGTAGCCCTCGCCAGATCCTCCTTGCTGGCAGCCTCTTGCTTCTCCTTGCTCATCATGTTCCCGAAGCTGGACAGGAAAGTTGACAAGAAGGACTTTTACCAAGAGAGAGAGAGAGCCGAAGAGGAGACCAAGACAATGGCTCATGTAGTCACATGTAGTAGGGAATGGATTTTGTAAATATATCAGTGGGGTGAGGACCTGAACCTCGGCCCAAGTCCGAGGCTCTAACCACGACATCACTCTGGATCAAACACGGGAGTGATCATGGCTCCTCAGGCAATAGCAACGTGAATGCTGTCACCAAACGACAGTGCCTTGCAGCAGCTTACCTGGCAGGTGAAGCACTCAGGTGTAAAGGAGGGGAGCTTCCCACGTGCACACGGACACACACACACCACTACCTGCGCTGAGTTCTTGGCTCTCCTAGTACCCCGTTTCCTCCGGCTGGGAGACAAAGGCTGGTGCTTGGGGGGACCACGGTGCGAGGGCATAAGAAGGACTTTTACCAAGAGAGAGAGAGTCGAAGAGGAGACCGAGACAATGGCTCGTGTAGTCACACGTGGTGGGGAATGGATTTTGTAAATATATCAGTGAACGTCATGGCAGGGTGAGGACTCTAACCGAGGCTCTAACCACGACATCGCTCTGGATCAAACACAGGAGTGACCATGGCTCCTCAGGCAATAGCAACGTGAATGCTGTCACCAAACTACAGTGCCTTGCAGCAGCCTACCTGGCAGGTGAAGCACTCAGGTGTAAAGGAGGGGAGCTTCCCACGTGCACACGGACACACACACACCACTACCTGCGCTGAGTTCTTGGCTCTCCTAGTACCCCGTTTCCTCCGGCTGGGAGACAAAGGCTGGTGCTTGGGGGGACCACGGTGCGAGGGCATCTAGAGTTCTGGTCCCGCTGGTGGACCTCCTGATGGCCCCTGGGTTTGGGCCACTGGACTGGATAGTTCCACTGGCTTGATCCAACAGGGTTTCTCTCATGTTCTTACAGGCTCAGTAAGGTTACTTATTTAGGAACAGGGAACTACGATGATAACTAAGAAATCAGAGCTTTAACTGGAGACTTTTCATTCCTTAGTTTGCTTCTTGCTGCGTTCACTAGACGCAAATGGCAACCAGTAGAGCCCGTGCACTTCAGTACGACTGCAAATTCAGGCTGACCTATGTCAAAGCCACAGGGAAAGCAGCACAGCCGGCTACAGTGATTAAGACCACCTGCATCTCCCCAGTTCATCCCCATTTGTCAAAAGAAGCCGGGGGCACAACTTGACAGCAACAGACAGATCTGGGGGGGGGTGTTATTTTATTTTTTATTTTTAAATTGAAGATGTTACAACTATCACTGTTAGTAGCCTTAAACGACAAGGAATGGCGGGAGATAAATGTTTCACTAAATAAATAAGCAAAGTGAAATAAATAGCGGTACTGGCTACACTGGGAAAGGGGTCCCCGGAAGAAGGTCAACTCCTCCTGCCCAGTAACTGTGACACCAATCCAAATGGGGGTGGGGTCAACTGCTATTTGGAGGAGATCAACAGTACAGAGAATTCTATCGTGGATCTTCGACATCTCATCTAGCCGCTCACCAGGAGGAAAAAAAAATACACATTTAATGCGCCGCACACCCTCCCGAAACCCCGGGCGAGGCCTTACCTGGATGCCACAGCCCAACCCGGCAGCCCGAATCTCTCGTAGTCGCCCCCGTAAATGTCCCGCACCAGTTTGTCCACTTTGGTGCTGTCCCCGCGGGAGGCCATCTCCAGGGCCTCTTCGAAGGTGGAGCAGCCCGTCAGGAGACAGCAGAGGCCGAAGAAGGTTCCTCCTCCCAGGCTGGCCAGGGCAGAGGAAAGACGCATCAATAATTCCTGCCGCCCAAGAAGGACCATGGGAGGGCTATGGGAGTGGGGGAGGGACGACAGACCAAGGAGAATTTGGGTGTGTGTGTATTTTTTTTAAATATGTGCATGTGTGAGTGCGCACGCACCTGGAAGTCATGGCGACCTCTGGTGACTGACCCCCCTACTGGGGGCCTGGAGGATATTCAGAGAGGTGGCTGGATAAAGCCTGCCCCCACCTCCCGACTGCTGGTATTCCAAGGAGGTCTCCCATCCAAGGACTTGCCAGAGTCGGCCCTGCTTAACTTCCGAGATCTGATGAGATTTGCCTTGCCTGGGCTATCCAGGTCAGGGCGATTAAGAATTTTATCACATCCTGCTAGTAATTTGTCATCCTAAGTAGCGAGGGGAGACCAAACAAGGATAGTTTATGATATTAACCCCTATATTTGTTATTTATCACATCCTGCTAGTAATTTGTCATTCTACGTAGCGAGGGGAGACCAAACAGGGAAAGACAGGGACTTATCACATCCAGATAGTTTATGATATTAACCCCTATACTTGTTAGTAGAATGAGGAGGAGGAGGAGATTGGATATATACCTTGCCCTTCACTACCGAAGGAGTCTCAGAGCGGCTTACGAACTCCTTTCCCTTCCCCTCCCCACAACGGACACCCTGTGAGGGAGGTGGGGCTGAGATAGCTCTTTCGAGGACCGCTCATGAAAGAACAGCTCTGAGAGAACTCGTAACTGACCCAAGATCACACCAGCAGCTACATCAGACTCACCTCGTATGTTGTCACCTGCCCTGAGCCCGCTTGTGGGGAAGGTGAGATAAAAATAAAATAAGTCAAGTCTCACCTGGTCCCCGTCACCCGCTTGTAATTGTCTTTGGAATACACGGCCAAGATGCTGACCCCGGAGCCAATGTTCACCAGGAGGAGGGGGTACGGATTCTCTAGGTTGAAAGGGAGCTTCTGACACTTTTCGGGATCGGTCGGGTTTTCAAAATAGTAGCACTCCGAGTGTCCATTGAAGCCAACCGAATCGATATACATGACTCCTTTAATGAGGCAGTCGAGTTCATCCAGCTTGCAGAGCTGGAGATCTCCCACCTGTTTGGAGAGAGAAGCTTTGAAGAGGGCCGGGTGAGTCCTTCCTGGAAGGATGCAATTCCCAGATCCCATAAAAGCTGCCTAATACCGAGACAGACCCTTGATCTGTCAAAGTCAGCCTTTGTCTACTCAGGCCGGTGGTGGCTCGCTGGGACACCAGCTGAGGCCTTTCACATTACCTGATGCTTTTAACTGGAGATGCTGGGGATTGAACCTTAAACCTTCTGCGTGCAAAGCAGAGGCTCTCCTATTGAGTCACGGCCAATTGCTCCAAGCTGTGGGGTCTTGAGAGCAAAAGTTCTACTTTGTGAGCTGCTGGTATTAAAGTTGTGAGCGAGCGACTTGGCTGCTGCATCAATTTTTGCTCTGGAGCCCTCCTTCCTAAGACAGAAATGTCTGAGGCGGAGGCTAAAAAACTGGGAGCTAGTTCACACTATCTCAGCTTAGAGGGAACACTGGTCACATAGCCCCTCCCTAGAATAAAAGTATGAACAAACATGGAGCTGCCTTATACTGAATCAGGCCACCGGTTCATCGAAGTTGTAATAGAGATGGGACTATATAGATTTTCCTCTTTTTTTTATTATTCATATTTCTCTGGGTTTTATAGATTTATTATAGGTTTACCATTTTATTGGAATGTACTGAAGGCCTGTTATATAGAAGGCCTCTCTTCTTTGTGGGTCAGGATATTTTTCCAGCTGATGTTAGCAGACAAGACAACAGCATTCTTTTGGTACAGAAGAAGGTAGGAGGTTCATGGTTCTAATTGTTTAGGTTACAACTTCATAGTGTCTGGGTCAAAAAGGATCTTTTACTAGGTATCAGAGAAAAACACCTTTGTTTGGGTGAGAACAAGTTTTGGCCGATATGACTTAGGCCAGGTCAAGTAAATATGTGACACTATTGTATAGACACACCTTTCTTACATTTGACCAATAAGGAGATTTTTATGTAAATGTTGTTTAAGTTTTTGTAACCAATTATGCTTTCTGAATATTATTTTCATGACGATGGTATGATGATGTCATATTAAGTATTTAACTTCATGTATTTCCTGATTGGGCTCAGAAAGCAGTCAACATTGATGAGTCCTTTGGCCTAACTGTTTTCCGTATTTCACTGCAATCAAATACAAGATCTTCCTCCTCATTTTGACTTCAATCTTCTATTTTTGACTGGATATTAACTTGTATAACAAAGTCAGTATTGTCTATTCAGACTGGCACAGCCCCTCCAGGGTCTCAGGTGGAAGTCTTTCACATCACCTACGGCCTGGAAGTGCTGGGGATTGAACCTGGGACCCTTCTGCATGCAACTCACAGGCTCTTCCACTGAGCCACAGCCCCCTTCCTTCTTTTATTCATCTCTCTCTGGGACATTCCCTTATTTATGGCAAGGGCAATCTCTGAAGTTATGTTATCGGGAATGACAAACCCTTCGAGCTCAACAGCATTAGCAGGAGTGTGAACAGCCCATTCAAAACTAAGAGTCACGAGAGGAAGAGAAGAGGAGGAGCTTGGATTTATACCCTGCCCTTTACTCAGAACGGCTCAGACAGGCCCTTAAGCCAGAGAAGGAGCTGCTGTTGGCGCAACGGATGTGTAGGAGCCAGGGGTCATTTCGTAGAAAAAGAGCTAGGGGAACTCATTAGCATATGCCACACCCCCTGACATCACCGGAAGTGTGTCATAAGGCCACACACCCCGCCCCCAACGGTCCCGAAAAGGCTCTTAGCCACAAGGTATAGATAGGAACTCTTGATCTGGGGCACGTGATGTTCTGTCTTCTTGGTGCTTGGGGGGGGGGCAACAGTGGGAGGGCTTCTGGTGTCCTGGCCCCACTGCTGGACTGCCTGATGGCGCCTGGTATTTTAGGCCACTGTGTGACACAGAGTGTTGGATTGGATGGGCCATTGGCCTGATCCAACCTTGGCTTCTCTTACGTTCTTAAGAGATTGGATTTATACCCCGCCCTTCACTCAGAGTCTCAGAGCGGCCTACGATCTCCTTCCCCTTCTCCGCCCCACAACAGACACCCTGTGAGGTTGGTGGGGCTGAGAGAGCTCTTTCCAGAACTAACCTTTCAAGGACAGCTCTGACAAAACTATGGCTCGCCTAAGGTCATCCAGCAGCTGCGAGTGGAGGAGTGGGGAATCAAAGCCGCTTCTCCCAGATCAGATTCCGCGCACTTAACCACTACACAGCTACTACTAGGCTGTGTTGTGCCAATCTCTCTTGCCATCCGGTGATCTCATCCGAGGAAGAGACACAGCCGAATATCAGAGTTTCAAAGGCTGCCTCGCTTAAAACAAGGAAGGGCCAATCACCTTGTCAGAATAATTTTCACAACCTTAACCAATGTGTGTCACCAGCGGAGAATGCGGACCTGCAGAGGAAACAGATCCCGATGACTCCGGCAGGAGAGCCAAACCACGTAATGCAAACAGAACACACGCAGAAACCCTCATACGGGGTCTAGTCCAGTTGGAGAAGGGGGGGGGGAGATCTAGAAAGGGCCCTGCGAGCTTCCAAATATAATTGAAAACTTACTAAGCAAAAGTAGCTCAGTGGCAGAGTGTAATATCTGCCTGCAGAATCCCTGGTGTCTCCGATTAACAAGAATCTCAGATAACATGTGGTGGGAGAGATCTTTGCCAGAGACAATGGGGGCTGACGGCCACTGAAAACAAACAATACTGGGCCAGACACCCTTAGAATGCCCCTTACAGAACAGCTTCCGTTATCTTCCGTCCAAAGACTTCCACGTTGAAATATTTTAGCTATTTATTTACTGCGTTGATAGCCCCACCTTTCCCCCCAATAACCGACCTGGAGTAGCCCAATCTAGCCCGACCCATCAGATCTCGGAAGCGAAGTAGGGCCGACCCTGGCAAGTACTTGGATGGGAGACCTCCAAGGAATACCAGGGCTGTGACGCAGAGGCAGGAAATGGCAAACCACCTCTAAAGCATCTCTCGTCTTTTAAAAAAAGGTCTAGCTCGCCACCTAGTGGTGCATAATGCTAAAGAAGAGCTAGAACATCTGGTTGCCAAACAATCTTACGATCTCCTGGCCGCGCTACATACATAGCTATACGATAATCATCACCATCATCCTCTCCCCAATAGTAACCCGAGGTGGGAGAGCCCAGTTCTCTTGGGAGTCAACTCATAGCCGCCTAAGTTGATCTAAAAGAGCACGAGCCGACTACAAATAAAGAGCTCGTGCAATAACGACCGCTGTGAATTCTTGATACCAATATTAGCACTTTAATGTTTTAATATGAATAGTCAGAATTGCTTTAAATGTTTTCATATGAATAGTTAGAATGGTTTATTATGAATATTGTGCTAATGTCACTTATTGTAATTCTATTGCAATTTTATGCAGCTTTTGTCAGCCTCCCTGGCCGGCCCGGCGGGATATAAATTTAATAAATCAAATCAAATCAAAATCAAGGTGGATTACATCGTTCTCTTCTCCACCCTTTTATCCTCACAACAACCCTGTGAGGAGGTAGATTAGGCTAAGAGTGTGTGGCTGGCCCAAGGTCACCCAGCAAGCTTCCGCGGCGGAGTGGGGAGTCGAACCTGGTTCTCCCAGACCCTAGTCCGGCACTCTAACCACTACACCACACCGGCTCTTGGAAGGAGCTAGGAGAGCGAGAGAGGAGCTACTTCCCATAATCTTGTTCCTAAATGCAGCAGCTTCCTGATGCTCCATGGGAAACGGAGGAAGGGGGAGGTCTCAACAAAGGGATCCTCGAGTCAGATTGATTTTTTAGCCAAGCGCCGTCTTTACGAGGACCAGAAGCATGCCACTTTTCCAGGGGGAAAAAGATCTGCGGAAGTCTGCTAGACACACCAAATCCCATGAGTCACAATGAAACAGAAGGCAGACAACAAGCAAGCCGGTGTCCTTGGCACCGAGAACAGAGAGGGACAGCTGCCACAGAGATGGCGCAAAGGAACCCTTTGATGACCCACAACATGCCCCCCCCAAGCTGTTCTTCGGTGAGCTATAAGAGCTTCAAGTCACGGTTCTGAGTTCCACAGCTGTCTGAGCAAATGGCATTTCATACATAAGAATGTAAGTGAAGCCAATCTTGGATCAGGCCAAAGGCCCATCCAGTCCAACACTCTGTCACACGGTGGCCAGAAACACCAGGTGCCATCAGGAGGTCCAGCAGTGGGGCCAGGACACTAGAAGCCCTCCCACTGTTACCTCCCCCCAAGCACCAAGAATACAGAGCATCCCTTGCCCCAGACAGAGGGTTCCATCTATAGGAACATAAGAGAAGCCTATCTTGGATCAGGCCAAAGGCCCATCCAGTCCAACACTCTGTGTCACACAGTGGCCAAAAATACCAGGTGCCCTCAGGAGGTCCAGCAGTGGGGCCGGGACACTAGAAGCCCTCCCACTGTTGCCCCCCCCCCAAGCACCAAGAATACAGAGCATCCCTTGCCCCAGACAGAGAGTTCCTATCTATACCTTGTGGCTAATAGCCACTGGTGGACTTCTGCTCCAGATGCTTATCTAACTCCCTTTTGAAGCCATCCATGCTTGTAGCCGCCCACCACCATTTCCTGTGGCAGTGAATTCCATGTGTTAATCACTCTTTGGGTGAAGAAGGACTTCCTTTTATCCGTTCTAACCCGACTTCTCAGCCATTTCCTTGAGTGCCCACGAGTTCCTGTATTGTGAGAAAGGGAGAAAAGTACCTCTTTCTCTACCTGGTCTATCTTACCTGCTGCATCTATACACACAGACCACAAAACATACATCCTGGTGGGAAACCCCCCACAGCAAGCAGCCTTTCCTAATTTATGGCCCTGTTCATTTCTCAGCCGTTAGGTCAGCAATGTCACACGCGTTAAGCTGGTGAGCTTGACGGCAATTCAGGGGAGCTGGTGGAATTAACTGCATCTTGGTTACCACCCAGCTCCTCCTGCGAAGTGTCTAGTTTACAGGACAGAATGACAACTGTTAAATTTTTTACGACTAGCAAGTCTCTGCTTTTCCGGAACGCAGCTCAACTTCTCATGGCCCTTAAGCTCCAACTGGGCAAGAAGGGTGAACAGAAGAAAAGCCCTGCTGGATCAGGCCAGTGAGGGTCCATCTAGTCCAGCATCCTGTCTCACACAGGGGCCAACCAGTTCCTCTGGAGGGGAAGAGCCCTGCTAGATCAGACCAGTGGTCCCTCTAGTCCAGCATCGAGTCTCACACAGTGGCCAGCCAGTTCCTCTGGAGGTCCAACAACAGGGCAGAGAGGCCAAGGCCTTCTTAAGAACCTCAGAAGAGCCCTGCTAGATCAGACCAGTGGTCCCTCTAGTCCAGCATCGAGTCTCACACAGTGGCCAGCCAGTTCCTCTGGAGGTCCAACAACAGGGCAGAGAGGCCAAGGCCTTCTTAAGAACCTCAGAAGAGCCCTGCTAGATCAGACCAGTGGTCCCTCTAGTCCAGCATCGAGTCTCACACAGTGGCCAGCCAGTTCCTCTGGAGGTCCAACAACAGGGCAGAGAGGCCAAGGCCTTCTTAAGAACATCAGAAGAGCCCTGCTGGATCAGGCCAGTGGTCCACCTAATCTAGCATCCTGTCTCATACAGTGGCCGTCCAGGCGCTCTGGAGGTCCAAAAACAGGGCACAGAGACCGAGGCCTTCCCAATGCAGCCTCCCAGCACTGGGACTTCGAGGTTTACCGCCTCTCCGCATGGAGATGCCTTGTAGTCACCATGGCTAGTAGCCACTAACAGACCTATCCTACACGAATCTATACGGTCCCCTTTTAAAGCCATCTGTGCCTGTGGCCATCACTACATCCTCTGGCAGCAAATCCCACATTTTAATCACTCTCTGTGTAAAGTAGTGTTTCCTTTTGTCCGCCTTGAACCTACTGCCCATCAGCTTCATTGGATGCCCTCCAGTTCTAGCCTTTTGGGAGAGGGAGAAAAATATCTCTTTGTCAACTTTCTCCACTCCCTGCATAACGCATCCCTCCAAAGCATTATGACAGGGAGCCCTTGCAGAGGTACTGAAACAGGCTCCGCCTCTATCTGGCAAGCTTTGACAATGTGCTACTGCAGCTTAAGGGTAGATAAGCCAAAAATTGCCTACTGTGCGAAAGTCCTGCTCAAATTTATACGCTCCGCCTCCTGTGGCACATAAGGTGGTGTGGAGGCTCGAGAAGTGCTTTTCGCTGCCCATTTGAATAAAAACAGGCATGTCATGAGTAGGAAAGCGTATAAAGTGGAGATTGCCTTTACGTCCACACAGCGTAAGGTCCTTTAGCTCGAGGTGGACGTCCCGGATGCCCGTGGCTCCGTAGGCGGTGTTGGAGGTCAGGTATTTCCGGATGCTTTTCAGGTTCTCCACTTCCTCCTCCTCTTCCTCGGCGGTAATGTCCTTTGGCTCAAAATAAACAAGCTTGACCAAGGTTCCTCCGATGTCCAAGCCAAACCAAGGAAAAGCTAAGCAATGGGGACAGAAAGAATTGTTATAATGGAGTTATGCCTATTTTTAAAATATATATATGTGTGTGTGTGTGTATGTATGTGTATGTAATTTACTTGCATTGTTTATGGACTCAAGGCAGACTACAACAGAGCGAGTCCATACAACCGACAGATGGGGCGTTTCATAAACCGTGCAATAGGATTAGGGTGGTAGAATCAACCAGAAGTCTAAAAACAGAACTGGAGCAAAGCATAAGCATTATGTTCGAATCCCCACCGCGGCCGGGTTGAGCCCCCGGCCCAGCTCCCGCCAACCCAGCGGCTCTAATAACAACAAGAGGAATGGGTACCTGCCCTAGGTGGCAGGGGGCACCCTCCTCCTGGCTCGGTGCTGGGAGTGCTGGGAGTGCGGTCGGCAGCGGCAAAGAGAGACGAGAGAGAGGCGGCGGCGGCAAGTGAGGAAAATGGCGGCGGAGAACAATCCAGGGAGGCAGCGGCCGGATTGAGCGGAGGCGGAGTTGGAGCCGGAGCAACGTGGTGACGTGGGACGCAGCACGGCAGGAGCCGTTGGGACATTGGCCGGAAGCTGCGTCTGAGAAGCGGCGGCGCTCCGAAGGAGTAAAAATCAAGAAGCCTGCTCGAGTCTGGTCGTCAGCCATCTGGATCGCCGGAAAAAGAACGACGAACCCACCGGAGAAGAAGGAATATGCCGCAAAAAAAAGGGTGCTGGTAGGATATCCCCTCCCCTAAGAGAATTGTGGCCCTAGTTAGGTACCAACTACGTTGTAGTACACTGTAGTACACTCTGAGACCCATTAGGGGTCATGGGCGGTATATAAATCTCATGTAAATAAATAAATAAATAAACAATATGACACTTATTATTAAATGGTGTAAAATTCCATAGCAGGATCACAGTTTCAGCAAGCTGGACACGGTAGTGCAGGCCACTTTGTGACTCGTATAGTACAGTGCACTTCTATTGCCTGTGTGGAAAAGCCCTCTTGAAGAATTCAGTTTTGCATAGTTTATGGAAAGCCAGAAGAGTGCGTAAACAGACTACGCGCTGGCTGCATTTAGCACTATTGGAATATATGCCATGACACGAGAGCAGGCCGACTGGGGAGGCAGGGCTTACAGACAGGTCTGTGTCTTGCCACTGGCTGATCTGCGGTGATGTTACTGAATGTCTAAAAGGGTGTGTGTCAAACATAAGGCCCCGGGGGCCGTTGTGCGGGGCTCTTTTGCGGCCCGCGAGCAACTGATGCAAGGGAGGGAGTGGGCGGAGCCACTTCACTGTGACTTCGGCACAGCAGAGCAACCTCGTCTGCAGCAGTCAAGCATCGTGGGAGCATCTGCCCAGCGCGGCACCACTGCCTCTCCAGGCCGCCCACTGCAGGTTTTCTTCTGCACACCCCTCCCAGCCCGTGGGGCCTTGCAGTGAGGATACACCAGCTCGGAGCTTACCAGCTGCTGTCCTTTATACAGTTTCTATCTCCGGTACCTGGCATTACGTTTCGCGGCACACGTGGCCCGGCCCGACAAAGTGACATTTATGTCAGATCCAGCCCCCGTAACGAATGAGTTTGACACCTCTGGTCTAAAACAAAGCTTCCCAAAGGCATCGTGAGAATGTGTTAGAAATCAGAATGCTCGCAAAACTGTGCCAGTTCAACAAGAGAAAAGATCAGTCGTACTAGGGAGGCCAGCACAAAGGGATGTGGGAAAGGGAGGGTGGGGTATGGAAGGAAGGAAGGAAGGAAGGAAGGAAGGAAGGAAGGAAGGAAGGAAGGAAGGAAGGAGAGAGGCAGCGGGGGCCAAGAGCCGAGGGGGAAGCTGAACAG